TCATCTTCAGCAAGCAGCGAAGAGAGAGAGAGAGAGAGAGAGAGAGAGAGAGAGAGAGAGAGAGAGAGAGAGAGAGAGAGAGAGAGAGAGAGAGAGAGAGAGAGAGAGAGAGCGAAGAGAAAACAAGGAAATGGTGAGAGAAGAAAGCATAGAAATAGAAGGACAGGAGCCAGGAGATTTAGGCGAAAAATAGAACGGCTGGGGTTCAATCATGTGAGAGTGTGTTTCTGGAACTGTCGTAGTGCCAGACAGAGAGGGCCCATACTAGAGAGGTTGATTTACGACTTTGATGTACTCATGCTTCTGGAGCTGAATGCAGACAAATATCATTGCCCTGGATTTGTCAGCTACGTAAACTCTGCTGGGCATCATGGGAGGCATGGACAATGTTTGCTGGTGAAGGAGGGCTTGAAACATGTGATGCTTGATCTGAGTCTCTGGAATAATGGTGCTAGAGAGATGCAAGGAATGCAGGTGAAGATTTGCGGCCTACGTTGGAGCATTATAATACATGTTTATGCTGACGTGGGCTCTTTAGTTACAAAACAACAGCGGGACTGGCTGAAAGACCTGGAGGGGATTCCTGGCAACAGGCTTCTCCTTTCTGGGGATTTTAATGCACGGTACAATGAATGGGGCAGTACTGGGAAAACCGGCAGGGAGTTGCACTTGCTGACGATTGATTCAGGCATTGTCTGTTTAAATGATGGGACACCAACTAGAACAGCAATGGGGCCCCGCGATGCAGACACAGCGATTATGGAAGTGACCATAGTTGTGTCAGTGTGAGACATAGAGACACCACACATCAGACAGGATAGTTGTGTCAGTGTGAGACATAGAGACACCACACATCAGACTGGATAGTTGTGTCAGTGTGAGACATAGAGACACCACACATCAGACTGGAAAGTTGTGTCAGTGTGAGACATAGAGACACCACACATCAGACAGGATAGTTGTGTCAGTGTGAGACATAGAGACCACCACACATCAGACAGGATAGTTGTGTCAGTGTGAGACATAGAGACACCACACATCAGACAGGATAGTTGTGTCAGTGTGAGACATAGAGACACCACACATCAGACAGGATAGTTGTGCAGTGTGAGACATAGAGACACCACACATCAGACTGGATAGTTGTGTCAGTGTGAGACATAGAGACACCACACATCAGACAGGATAGTTGTGTCAGTGTGAGACATAGAGACACCACACATCAGACTGGATAGTTGTGTCAGTGTGAGACATAGAGACACCACACATCAGACTGAAAAGTTGTGTCAGTGTGAGACACAGAGACACCACACATCAGACAGGATAGTTGTGTCAGTGTGAGGCATAGAGACACCACATACCAGACTGGATAGTTGTGTCAGTGTGAGTCATAGAGACACCACACATCAGACTGGATAGTTGTGTCAGTGTGAGACATAGAGACACCACACATCAGACAGGATAGTTGTGTCAGTGTGAGACATAGAGACACCACACATCAGACAGGAAAGTTGTGTCAGTGTGAGACATAGAGACACCACACATCAGACTGGAAATTTGTGTCAGTGTGAGACATAGAGACCACCACACATCAGACAGAATAGTTGTGTCAGTGTGAGACATAGAGACACCACACATCAGACAGGATAGTTGTGTCAGTGTGAGACATAGAGACACCACACATCAGACTGGAAAGTTGTGTCAGTGTGAGACATAGAGAAACCACACATCAGACAGGATAGTTGTGTCAGTGTGAGACATAGAGACCACCACACATCAGACAGGATAGTTGTGTCAGTGTGAGACATAGAGACACCACACATCAGACTGGAAAGTTGTGTCAGTGTGAGACATAGAGACACCACACATCAGACAGGATAGTTGTGTCAGTGTGAGACATAGAGACATAGAGACACCACACATCAGACTGGAAAGTTGTGTCAGTGTGAGACATAGAGACACCACACATCAGACAGGATAGTTGTGTCAGTGTGAGACATAGAGACCACCAAACATCAGACAGGATAGTTGTGTCAGTGTGAGACATAGAGACATAGAGACACCACACATCAGACTGGAAAGTTGTGTCAGTGTGAGACATAGAGACACCATACATCAGACTGGAAAGTTGTGTCAGTGTGAGACATAGAGACACCACACATCAGACTGGATAGTTGTGTCAGTGGGTGAAGTATTAAAAAGACGAGAAGAGATTCCCTGTTTTAGCTACTAGAACCTGCTGTTAGAACCATAATTACTGATAGACTAATTAGTATTTGTATGTGTGGAGCATTACACCAGCCACAATTGCTTGAATGTGTGGAGCATTACACCAGCCACAATTGCTTGGATGTGTGGAGCATTACACTAGCCACCTTTGCTTGTATGTGTGGAGCATAACACTAGCCACCTTTGCTTGGATATGTGAAGCATTACACCAGCCACAATTGCTTGGATGTGTGGAGCATTACACCAGCCACAATTGCTTGGATGTGTGGAGCATTACACTAGCCACCTTTGCTTGTATGTGTGGAGCATTACACTAGCCACCTTTGCTTGTATGTGTGGAGCATTACACTAGCCACCTTTGCTTGTATGTGTGGAGCATTACACTAGCCACCTTTGCTTGGATATGTGAAGCATTACACTAGCCACCTTTGCTTGGATGTGTGGAGCATTACACTAGCCACCTTTGCTTGTATGTGTGGAGCATTACACTAGCCACCTTTGCTTGGATATGTGAAGCATTACACTAGCCACCTTTGCTTGGATATGTGGAGCATTACACCAGCCACCTTTGCTTGGATATGTGAAGCATTACACTAGCCACCTTTGCTTGTATGTGTGGAGCATTACACTAGCCACCTTTGCTTGGATATGTGAAGCATTACACTAGCCACCTTTGCTTGGATGTGTGGAGCATTACACCAGCCACCTTTGCTTGTATGTGTGGAGCATTACACTAGCCACCTTTGCTTGGATGTGTGAAGCATTACACTAGCCACCTTTGCTTGTATGTGTGGAGCATTACACCAGCCACCTTTGCTTGTATGTGTGGAGCATTACACTAGCCACCTTTGCTTGGATGTGTGAAGCATTACACCAGCCACCTTTGCTTGTATGTGTGAAGCATTACACCAGCCACCTTTGCTTGGATGTGTGGAGCATTACACCAGCCACCTTTGCTTGTATGTGTGAAGCATTACACCAGCCACCTTTGCTTGTATGTGTGGAGCATTACACTAGCCACCTTTGCTTGTATGTGTGGAGCATTACACTAGCCACCTTTGCTTGTATGTGTGGAGCATTACACTAGCCACCTTTGCTTGGATGTGTGGAGCATTACACTAGCCACCTTTGCTTGTATGTGTGGAGCATTACACTAGCCACCTTTGCTTGGATGTGTGAAGCATTACACTAGCCACCTTTGCTTGGATGTGTGGAGCATTACACCAGCCACCTTTGCTTGTATGTGTGGAGCATTACACTAGCCACCTTTGCTTGTATGTGTGGAGCATTACACCAGCCACCTTTGCTTGGATGTGTGAAGCATTACACTAGCCACCTTTGCTTGGATATGTGAAGCATTACACTAGCCACCTTTGCTTGTATGTGTGGAGCATTACACTAGCCACCTTTGCTTGGATATGTGAAGCATTACACTAGCCACCTTTGCTTGGATGTGTGCAGCATTACACTAGCCACCTTTGCTTGGATATGTGAAGCATTACACTAGCCACCTTTGCTTGTATGTGTGGAGCATTACACTAGCCACCTTTGCTTGGATGTGTGAAGCATTACACTAGCCACCTTTGCTTGGATATGTGAAGCATTACACTAGCCACCTTTGCTTGGATGTGTGGAGCATTACACTAGCCACCTTTGCTTGGATGTGTTGAGCATTACACTAGCCACATTTGCTTGGATGTGTGGAGCATTACACTAGCCACCTTTGCTTGGATGTGTGAAGCATTACACTAGCCACCTTTGCTTGTTTGTGTGGAGCATTACACTAGCCACTTTTGCTTGGATATGTGAAGCATTACACTAGCCACCTTTGCTTGTATGTGTGGAGCATTACACTAGCCACCTTTGCTGGGATATGTGAAGCATTACACTAGCCACCTTTGCTTGTATGTGTGGAGCATTACACTAGCCACCTTTGCTTGGATGTGTGGAGCATTACACTAGCCACCTTTGCTATGATATGTGAAGCATTACACTAGCCACCTTTGCTTGGATGTGTGGAGCATTACACTAGCCACATTTGCTTGGATGTGTGGAGCATTACACTAGCCACCTTTGCTTGGATGTGTGGAGCATTACACCAGCTACAATTGCTGGGATGTGTGGAGCATTACACCAGCCACCTTTGCTTGGATGTGTGGAGCATTACACTAGCCACATTTGCTTGGATGTGTGGAGCATTACACCAGCCACTTTTGCTTGGATGTGTGGAGCATTACACTAGCCACATTTGCTTGGATGTGTGGAGCATTACACCAGCCACCTTTGCTGGGATGTGTGAAGCATTACACTAGCCATCTTTGCTGGGATATGTGGAGCATTACACTAGCCATCTTTGCTGGGATGTGTGGAGCATTACACTAGCCACCTTTGCTTGGATGTGTGGAGCATTACACTAGCCATCTTTGCTGGGATGTGTTGAGCACGACACTAGCCAACTTTGCTGGGATGTGTTGAGCACGACACTAGCCAACTTTGCTGGGATGTGTGGAGCATTACACCAGCCACAATTGCTGGGATGTGTGGAGCATTACACCAGCCAACTTTGCTTTCAAAGACATTTGCATGGATACATTTTAGTCTGCCTATATCTGTGTAGATTTCGAAATAGCCTTGATGCAAACTGTTCATGACAGCACAGAAACAAATTGTAATCTGTCAAGAAACAATGTGTTTTAGAAAAAAGGATGCTCTGTTTTAAATAAACATTTCTATATGTATTGAAAGAGAAATATTTCCACTATCAATTTTAGTTCGGATGAATTCCTGCTTGTGCCATTGCCACGAGAGCTGCTGACCTTAGATGGAAGGGCACCTTTAGTCTGGCAAACAGAGGTGCTTGTAAAATCCTTGTTACCTACCAGGGTGTATCTGCATCCTGCTGGCGTTGCCTGGAGCAGCCTTCACGACCTTGTTCGAAGAAAGGTAGGGTCTGAGATTAGGAAACAGTTCATTAATTTGGGAGCTCTACCAATATATCAGTTACTGGCACTGAGTAACACAAGGAAATCTTACACCTTGCTCTGACATTAACACCCCCCCCCCCCTTTCCTCCCGCCTCGCCCACCTCAGTTTTCAGCCTTTGTGATTGCAGCCTTACAAGTGTCTATCCACTGAACCAAAGAGACACTTGTCAGATGTAAATCTAACAAAAGCAGCTGTCAGAAACTGTTCAACTGTATCATATTTTTCTTTAATGTGCCTCATAAGATTACAAGAAAAACTCAGAAAAAATCTGCATTCTGTAGAATGAATAAAACACACCTTGAAATTAGATGGTTTTGTCACCAGATCTCTACTGTCTCTATAGTCAAACAATAACAAGGGCGGTCGGGTATAAACCAGGAATACTAGTTGGAGTTTACAATAACGAGGGCGCTCGGGTATAAACCAGGAATACTAGTTGGAGCTTACAATATAAACAATCTTCGTTATGCATATGATACAGTATTAATAGCTGAAAACGCAGAAGACCTACAACAATTATTAGACACTGTGGTATCAGAGAATGCAAAAAAAAAAAAAAAAAAAAAAAGGGGGAAAGGGAGGGTGGGCGGGGTAGGGGGGGGGGGGGGGGCGGGGAGCATTTTCCTTTGAATGTTAAGAAAACAGAAACAATGGTTATATCAGAGAAAAATATTACTCCAAAATGTGACATATTATGTTATCAAAATGGACGTCCCTGCACATTGGGCATTTCCAAGCGTGTTCAGTCCTCAAATGCAGACGGGAATGCAGGGAATGCAGAGACTGGCCAGAAGATACCACAGAGGTAGAAATTCAGCAATTTTTTTCAAGATTATGCTCGCTCAGAGGATTTTATCATTTACACAGACGGTTCCGTGTCAAGAGGCAAAAGAAGTGCTTTGGGGCTTCTTAGCAAAAGTTAATGGTCGACGTTTGGTGCAGGAGAGCCTAGCATATGATACCACAACATCCAGCTTAAAAATGGAGGTGGAGGCGGTCACCTCAACTTTCCGCTGGCTAGAGAACACAAAACACACACACACACACACACACACACATCGTGACTGTAACTGACTATGAAAGCATGCTGAGGAACACCAGGACAGGCGTGCTTCGTGAAGAGTGGCATGCTTCGCTGCGGAGGACACTGGTGAGGAGTATTGTCTGGATTTCACCAGGGATGCCAGTGTGTTGGGAAATGAACAGACGGACAGACTGGCTGACTCTGCACAGCTTGGTGGAATGCTGATGCATGATAAGGCGGAGGAGCAGATGGATCACCGCCAGGGGGTGAGATTGATGCAGGAAGGAGTGACGAGAGGTTCTGGCAAAGGAAAGATGAGACAGACGTTTGATCAAAATGCTACTGGCATTATAAGTACCTCAACTCTTTAGTGGCTGCTGAAGATGGAGACTAAGCGCTTATGGGAATGCCCCGAGGGCTGTGATGTCGGTTCTTGAATCGAATCAAATCAATTACTGATCGTAAGACATATTCAACTTTTATTAATTGATCAAAACATATTTAACTGTTATATATTTATAGTAAGACATATAACACTTTTAAATATTGATAATAAGACATATTTAACTTTCATATATTGATAACAAGACACATTTAATGTTCAAATATTGATCATAAAACATATTTGACTTTCATATATTGATAATAAGACATTTCATGTTCAAATATTGATCATAATACATATTTGACTTTCATATATTGATATTAGGACAGATTTAATGTTCAAAACTATTTTTTATTTTCCCAATGCAGCATCCTGTAAACACATCACTAAATGTTCTTGAGCAGCTGTTCACCGAGTGGGACAACAAGAACACAGAATGGGACAACACGAACACAGAGCGGGACAACAAGAACACAGAGTGGGACAACAAGAACACAGAGTGGGACAACAAGAACACAGAGTGGGACAACAAGAACACAGAGTGGGACAACAAGAACAGAGCCAGGCTAGCAATGAGAAGGATACGTTCTGTGCTGCTGGATATTGTCAGATCAGTGGAGCCTTACGTTGCTGCCGCAGGCCCACACACCAGGTGACACTACCTCATGTTATAATTATGTGTTCTGTCCTGTCTGCAAGCTGTGATGTCTGGTGCACATATTGAAGAAGATATCTAGTGCACACGTTGAAGCTGATGTCTGTTGCGCATTTTGAAGCGGATGTCAGGTGCATATGTTGAAGCTAGTGTCTGGTGTACATGTTGACGCTAGTGTCTGGTGTACATGTTGAAGCTAGTGTCTGGTGTACATGTTGACGATAGTGTCTGGTGTACATGTTGAAGCTAGTGTCTGGTGTACATGTTGACGCTAGTGTCTGGTGTACATGTTGACGCTAGTGTCTGGTGTACATGTTGAAGCTAGTGTCTGGTGTACATGTTGACGCTAGTGTCTGGTGTACATGTTGACGCTAGTGTCTGGTGTACATGTTGACGCTAGTGTCTGGTGTACATGTTGACGCTAGTGTCTGGTGCACATGTTGACGCTAGTGTCTGGTGTACATGTTGACGCTAGTGTCTGGTGTACATGTTGACGCTAGTGTCTGGTGTACGTGTTGACGCTAGTGTCTGGTGTACATGTTGAAGCTAGTGTATGGTGTACATGTTGACGCTAGTGTCTGGTGTACATGTTGACGCTAGTGTCTGGTGTACATGTTGACGCTAGTGTCTGGTGTACATGTTGAAGCTAGTGTCTGGTGTACATGTTGACGCTAGTGTCTGGTGTTCATGTTGAAGCTAGTGTCTGGTGTACATGTTGACGCTAGTGTCTGGTGCACATGTTGACGCTAGTGTCTGGTGTACATGTTGACGCTAGTGTCTGGTGCACATGTTGACGCTAGTGTCTGGTGCACATGTTGACGCTAGTGTCTGGTGCACATGTTGCCGCTAGTGTCTGGTGCACATGTTGACGCTAGTGTCTGGTGCACATGTTGAAACTGATTTTTGTGTGTGTGCCTAATAATTCATCTTAAAGCTGATGTCTGGTGTACATACTGAAGCTGATGTCTGGTGTACATACTGAAGCTGATGTCTGGTGTACATACTGAAGCTGATGTCTGGTGTAGATACTAAAGCTGATGTCTGGTGTACATACTAAAGCTGATGACTGGTGTACATACTAAAGCTGATGTCTGGTGTACATACTGAAGCTGATGTCTGGTGTACATACTGAAGCTGATGTCTGGTGTACATACTGAAGCTGATGTCAGGTGTACATACTGAAGCTGATGACTGGTGTATATACTGAAGCTGATGCCTGGTGTACATACTGAAGCTGATGTCTGGTGTACATACTGAAGCTGATGCCTGGTGTACATACGGAAGCTGATGTCTGGTGTACATACTTAAGCTGATGTCTGGTGTACACACTGAAGCTGATGTCTGGTGTACATACTGAAGCTGATGTCTGGTGTACATACTAAAGCTGATGTCTGGTGTACATACTAAAGCTGATGTCTGGTGTACATACTGAAGCTGATGTCTGGTGTACATACTAAAGCTGATGTCTGGTGTACATACTGAAGCTGATGTCTGGTGTATATACTAAAGCTGATGTCTGGTGTACATACTAAAGCTGATGTCTGGTGTACATACTGAAGCTGATGTCTGGTGTACATACTGAAGCTGATGTCTGGTGTACATACTGAAGCTGATGTCTGGTGTACATACCGAAGCTGATGCCTGGTGTACATACTGAAGCTGATGCCTGGTGTACATACTGAAGCTGATGTCTGGTGTACATACTGAAGCTGATGTCTGGTGTACATACCGAAGCTGATGCCTGGTGTACATACTGAAGCTGATGCCTGGTGTACATACTGAAGCTGATGTCTGGTGTACATACTGAAGCTGATGTCTGGTGTACATACTGAAGTTGAAGTCTGGTGTACATACTGAAGCTGATGTCTGGTGTACATACTTAAGCTGATGCCTGGTGCACATACTGAAGCTGAAGTCTGATGTACATACTAAAGCTGATGTCTGGTGTACATACTGAAGCTGATGCCTGGTGTACATACTGAAGTTGAAGTCTGGTGTACAGACTGAAGTTGATGTCTGGTGTATATACTGAAGTTGAAGTCTGGTGTACAGGCTGAAGTTGAAGTCTGATGGAAATGTCCTTGCTGATGTTTGTTATGTATGGTACATAAATTAAAGCTGATTTCTTCCGCACATGTTAAAGCTCATGTCTGGTGCACAAGTTAAAGCTCATGACTGGTGCACATGTTAAAGCTCATTCTGGTGCACATGTTAAAGCTCATGTCTGGTGCACATGTTAAAGCTCATGTCTGGTACACATGTTAAAGCTCATGTCGGTTGCAAATGATGAAGCTGATATCTGCTGCCTAATAAAAACATTTGATGTTTGATGCACATTCTGGTGTACAATATTGAAGCTGATGTTTGGTGAACATAATAAAGCTAATGCCTGGTGCACATATCAAATCTGATGTCTGGTGCAGATGTTGGAGCTTATGGCTAATGCACATATTGAAGCTGATGTCAGGTGCACTTAGGGACACATCATGTTTAAATGTGACATAATGATCAAGCACAAACATATATTGGAGATAAACAGTGACATAATATTGACAAAAACTGGAGAAAAACAATAACATGTGATGGACACAAACTGGAGACAGACAACAACATAAGATGGACACAAACTGGAGACAGACAACAGCATAAGATGGACACAAACTAGAGACAGACAACGACCTAAGATAGACGCAAGCCAGAGACAAACGACTAGACGAGATGGACAAAAACTAGAGAAATACAACAACATGAGATGGACAAAAGCTGGAGACAGACAACATCATGAAATAGATATAAGCTGGAAAAGGACAAAAAACATGAGATGGATAAAAACTGGAAACAGACAAGAGATAGAAACAAAGTGGAGACGCACAAGAACATAAGTTAGACAAAAACTGGAGACAGAAAACAACATGAGATGGACACAACTGAAAACAGACTACAACATGAGATGGACAAAAACTGGAGAAGGACAAGATGAGATGGACATAAGCTAAGACAGACAACAACATGATATGGATAAAAATTGGAGACAGACAACAGAAATGGGCTCAAATTGGAGACACACAACATAAGATGGACAAATACTGAAGACAGACAACAACATGAGATGGACAAAAAGTGGAGACAGATAACGACATGAGATGGACAATAACTAGAGACAGACTACAAGAGGAGATGGACAATAACTAGAGACAGACTACAAGAGAAGATGGACAATAACTAGAGACAGACAACAAGAGGAGATGGACAATAACTAGAGAAGACTACAAGAGGAGATTGACAATAACTAGAGACAGACTACAAGAGGAGATGGACACAAACTGGTAAAGACAACATTAGATTGACACAAACTGGAAACAGACAACAACGTGAAACTTAAAGAAATTGGAGGCAGACAAAAAAAAAAAAACGAGATCTGCAAAAACTATTGGCCAGATAATATCAAGTCGTAGAAGCCTGAAACAATTTAAAAATATTAGGCAGACAATAGCTTAAAACATACATTAGATAAAAACACAAGATAGACCGGCAAAAGCTTGAAACAAACAACTGCATTAGACAGAAATCCAGACAGACAAAGACTTGACAACAATAACACAGTTAGACAAAACACAGTTTTAATCAGCATAAGACATAACTGCGGGAGACAGATAACACAATAAAGGACGGAACTGTGTGCTGATGGGTTGGTTTGAAAATATTTGATTTAATTTAATATAATTTAATAACCGACATCACAGCACACAGAATATTCCCATAAGCGTCCCCATCTTCAGCAGCCAGCGAAGAGTTCAGATACTAATAGTGCCAGTAGCATTCTGATTAAACGTCCAACTTGCCTTTCCCTTGAGCCTCGAGAATGTGCCGGAACCTCTCGTCATTCCCCCCTGCGTCAATCTCACCAAACTGTGGTGATCCATCTGCTCCTCCGCATTGTACACGCTCTCCCACAAGGCACTAACCACGTCTGCCCTATCATGTAGCAGTATTCCACCAAGTTGTGCAGAGCCAGCCAGTCTGTCCGCCTGTTCATTTCTCAACACACCGGCGTGACCCGGTGAAAAAATCCAGACAATACTCCTCACTCGTGTTCTCCGCAGCGAGGCATGCCACACTGCACGAAGCATGCCTGTCCGGATCTTCCTCAGCATGCTTTCTGAATCAGTTACAATCACGATGTGTGTGTCTGTGTGTGTGTCGTGTTATCTAACCATCAGAAAGCTGCAGTGACCGCCTCCACCTCCATTCTTAAGCTGGATGCTGTGGTATCATAGGCTAGTCTCTTCTGCACCAAACGTCGACCATTAACTTTTGCTAAGAAGCCCCAAAGCACTTCTTTTGCCTCTTGACACTGAACCGGCTGTGTAAATGATCAAATCCTCTGAGCGAGCATTATCTTGAATTAATTGCTGAATTTCTACCTCTGTGGCACCTGCTAGCCAGTCACTGCATTCCTGGCTCAGTGTGATAATGACCCTACACAAGTCTGACTGTTTAAGTGGCACTTCGGCCCACTCCTCTCCTCGCCAAATGTTCTCAAGGATGCAAACCTGTCTGATTGTGTCTTTTACCTGAGACTTCCCTCTTATCAGCCGCTGACCCTTAACTGCACCCAGAGCTTCACGCAAAGCGTGGTCTGTGTCTGCAGCTACCCTAAGATATGACTTTGCTTGCAGAACCTTGTGCCTTCCTGCAACAGTCAGCAAACCAAGGGTGTATCGCATAGACACCACTGGGATGTCTCTGGTGCAACCCAGAATGACCCGCATAGCTGCGTTCTGTATGCGCTCTAGTTTGTAGTTTGAAAAGAAAACAGGTGGATAGGGTAGAGGGTGTATATTTCTGAACATATTTATACTTGTGTTGTGTCTGTATTTTTTGTTTTTTAGGTTGGATCAAAATTATTTTCAACAACTAGAGATTCTGTTGGTGTTTGATTCATCATTCCAACCAATCATTTTACAGGTACGGATGTCAACTATCTGTAGCAAGAATGTCTCTGTAGTACACACTTGACTACACATTATGCCAGAGACAACCATCTCATCATATATGAGCTGTGTATTCACACTTGACTACAAATTATGCCAGAAACAACCATCTCATATATGAGCTGTGTATTCACACTTGACTACAAATTATGCCAGAAACAACCATCTCATATATGAGCTGTGTATTCACACTTGACTACAAATTATGCCAGAAACAACCATCTCATATATGAGCTGTGTATTCACACTTGACTACACATTATGCCAGAAACAACCATCACATATATCAGTTGTGTGTTCATACTTGACTACACTTTATGCAAGAAACATTCATCACATATTTCAGTTGTGTGTTCATACTTGACTACACATTATGCCAGAGACAACCATCACATATTTCAGTTGTGTGTTCATACTTGACTACACATTATGCCAGAGACAACCATCACATATTTCAGTTGTGTGTTCATACTTGACTACACATTATGCCAGAAACAACCATCTCATATATGAGCTGTGTATTCACACTTGACTACACATTATGCCAGAGACAACCATCTCATCATATATGAGCTGTGTATTCACACTTGACTACACATTATGCCAGAAACAACCATCACATATATCAGTTGTGTGTTTATACTTGACTACACTTTATGCCAGAAACATTCATCACATATTTCAGTTGTGTGTTCATACTTGACTACACATTATGCCAGAGACAACCATCACATATATCAGCTGTGTATTCACACTTGACTACACATTATGCCAGAAACAACCATCTCATATATCAGCTGTGTGTTCACGCTTGACTACACATTATGCCAGAGACAACCATCTCATATATCAGCTGTGTATTCACACTTGACTACACATTATGCCAGAAACAACCATCTCATATATCAGTTGTGTGTTCACGCTTGACTACACATTTTACCAGAAACAACCATCACATGAATCAGTTCCTGGGTTTCACCCAGCATCTAGATAATGGGTACCAGAGTTAAAGCTCTGGGGTATATGGAGGGACGTCGCTGTAGCTACGGAGTTGAGTGCGTACGGCGACACAGGCGGCCAGTTTCTAGTCCGTACTGGTGGCAGAGCATTTATGGTTAATAACCGTGTTCAATGACCCCGGTTCGCATCTCCCGAATTTACCTTTATTTTTACAACGATCACACTCAGATGCCGACACATCACTATACCCAGGTAGTTGTACGCTGTTTTCATTTGTCTTATCTCCATGTACACTTCCTCAGCACTATACCCAGGTAGTTGTACGCTGTTTTCATTTGTCTTATCTCCATGTACACTTTCTCAGCACTATACCCAGGTAGTTGTACGCTGTTTTCATTTGTCTTATCTCCATGTACACTTCCTCAGCACTATACCCAGGTAGTTGTACGCTGTTTTCATTTGTCTTATCTCCATGTACACTTCCTCAGCACTATACCCAGGTAGTTGTACGCTGTTTTCATTTGTCTTATCTCCATGTACACTTCCTCAGCACTATACCCAGGTAGTTGTACGCTGTTTTCATTTGTCTTATCTCCATGTACACTTCCTCATCACTATACCCAGGTAGTTGTACGCTGTTTTCATTTGTCTTATCTCCATGTACACTTCCTCAGCACCATATTCTATTGCCTGGAGAAGGGGGGGGGGGGGGGGGGTGAATGGTTTTAAACCAGTTTTGCGGAATTTTTTAACCAGGCGGATGGTATTTAAACATAGGGAAAGCAGTCCAGGGTCTGAGATACTGACTGTCGGCTGTGATTTTGTCACTTATACAGGTCAGCCCCAAACAATTCACCAAACAGCTTAGCTCTGTCAGCAACTTTCTTCTAGAACAGAACATTCTAGATGACACGGCCACCATGCTAGTGTCCAGAAAACCAACATCTGCTGATTTACTTTGGCCACTGTATGACCTTGGAGTGATTAATGTCAAAGGT